ACCTGCTTTGTTTCTTGACTCTCAATGATCGCTGACCTTCTTGTTTGATATCCTGTATCTTGAAAGTCATGGTTTCATATATTTTTTTCTGACCTTTTGGCTGTTTCAGACAAGAGATTGAGCCTGGACCCTACCACTCCATTTGGCAGAAAGCCCAAGTCTTGGTGCTGGGAGCCTAATTCAGGTTCCAATTATGTATGTAGAACTAGCCAGATTTTGACTCCCACTTTGAGGATGTTCTTTAGTACTTCTGATTCGTCATCTCCCTACCACTCTCCTAACCATTTGATTCCCAGAGGTTAAATGAATGTGTTCTACTATTGGAATTTTCTCCAAGCAGCTGACACCCATTTTGCAAGTTTGATACTGGCTGTTTTGATATTAGTGTCTGTGCGGACAAAGATAAGTATGGCAGGATTACTGCCTCCCTCAGGGAGAATGAATATAAGGCACCAGTGACTGTGAGATACATTCTGATTTCATGTAGGTTAAAATGTGAAATATTGTAGAATCTGTGAAATATGGCTTTTTGACTCTGGTGACAATAGGATTTTCTAACTGATTGGGTGAAAGCATAAAATCAAGGATGGCTCCAAAGTTTTTGATCTAGAAAAAACAGGGGCAGAGGGAGGGAGCATCTTGTTTGGCCTGTCCAGTATACACCCTCCATTGTGCAATCACTGATAAACTAAGAAGAGAAGGGATATGAAGGGCTCATCTTGTCTTATTGGGTATATGTTATGAGTAATAAAGTTGGCATGAAGATGAAAAAATATACCATTAAAACCTCCTCAAGACTGGCAGACTATATGTAGCCAACTCTATTAACAATGGCTCTTTCACCAAAAAAATAATAATGATAAGATTGAGTATCAGCCCCAAAGGTTTAAAGCAAAGAGCTTTTAAAAACATGCACTTATCAACAGGTCTAAAAATAAGATAAACTCAGATATCAGAACAGGAAATCCTGTCTTTTCAAAACTTATCATTTTTATTATCACCTTTCTCTGATATAGCAATGAATCATACAGAAAAATCCATATGTGAAAAGATTAAAAATTAATCTAAAATGCTAGAAATATGTGGAATATAGATGTATATAGCTGTGTGTTTGTTTTTAATCCTGACTAGAGGATATTTTTTCCATTGATTTCTAGAGAGAGTGAAAAAGAGGGAGGAGGGGGAAAGAGAGGGAAAGAAACATGAATAAGAGACACATTGATTAGTTGCCCTTGACTTATTGAACCCGAGATTCTTCAGTCCATGGGCTGACACTCTAACCACTAAGCCAAAAGAGCCAGGGCTAGCTGTAATTTTTTTTAACCTAAGCCGAAGATATGTATGTGTGCTGCTTTTTTTTTTTTTTTTAGAGAGAGGAAGAGAGAGAGAGAAAAACATTGATTGGTTGCCTCCTATATCCTCCCCAATTGGGGATCGAACCCACAACTTAGTTATGTGCCCTGACGCAGCCTTTTGGGGTAGGGCTGATGCTCCAACCAACTGACCCACCTGGCCAGGGCAATAACTGTAGATTTTTTTTGACAAAATCTTTTAGGTACAATCCTTGAGAACAATTTTCTTGGAAAAAGGTATTTATAACCCACGTATGTGAATTAACAACATTTGTGATTCCCATGGAAACCTTGTCAATTTAATGGAGAAAGAGGTTACCTGATCTCTGAAGCAGGTCTTTTAGAGTTGTAGATTAATAACCTGGAAAAATGTCCTGAAGACCGTCATCATGGTTGGGTCAGACTAGGTTAGGGCGGATGCACTTGATCATAGAGCAGTGTGCTTTTGAAGGAAAGGTCACCCCTAGGGTTGTGCAAGGAGAGGATATAGCCCCCTGCTCACCAGCCATACCCATTGAATTTATCACTGAGGGGCAGGTGATGAAAATGACTGCTCACACATTCTCAGATGTCACACCTCTCTGTGCACAGTACTATCATAGGTACCAAACAGTAGAATCCCCCAATCCACCCCTGATCATTGAGAATGTATTGTCAAGTGAGACAATTATTAATACATATACAACTCAAATACTGGCTTTTTATCAACATGCAGAAAATGAAATTAATTTTTTTATCAAATTAAGAACATCATATATTAGATTGTGTTCTGAGATGTATCAGCTGGTGTTAACAGATAAGATGTAAGCGAAAGCTTCCTTGCATGAATGCATTAGGGACACACTGGGATACACACAGAGTAGAATGGGTTTGTTTGGCTCAGGGCTCCTAAGAAACTAACCAATGTGGGTATTTTCCACACATTTTTTTAATTTTAGGTCCCTTTTTCATGGACCGTCTTGTAGGGCTGCTGCTGCTTTGTCTTGTTCGTCACTGAGTCTCTGGTACCTAGAGTGGAACCTGGCCCTAAGAGACACTCAAAAACATTTGTGCAGTAATGAATTTACTGGTTGCCTGATAACCTGCCAGTTGTCCGTTAACCCTTTACAGAACCACAGAGTAGGCCAGTGATGGCGAACCTATGACACGCGTGTCAGAGGTGACACGCGAACTCATTTTTTTGGTTGATTTTTCTTTTTTTCTTTTTTTTTAATGTTCACAACATTTATTTTTATTTTTTATAGAAAAGAGACTGAGGATATTCATAAGCAATTTTATCAGAAGTAGAAATGGCTGATAGCTTTTTTAAAAGTTATTTTGTTCTATTTATTTTTTATTTTTTATTTTTTATTTTGGCATTTAAATATAAAAAATAAATATCAAAAATGTAAGTCTTTGTTTTACTATGGTTGTGAATATCAAAAAAAATTCTATATGTGACACAGCACCAGAGTTAAGTTAGGGTTTTTCAAAATGCTGACATGCCGAGCTCAAAAGGTTCGCCGTCACTGGACTAGGCCGTGACTCTCCCGTCTCTGGGGCTGTGTGCTGCTGACAGTTCAAGTTTGCACCAGCCTGAGCTGCTCCACATTCTCTTTGACCAGGGAAGAGTAGAGGGGATCAGATATTTCATTCTTGCCTGGTCTACACTCCACCTTACCTTCTTCCCCCAACAGGCTGGGAGGTTCCTCTGCCTCTTCCTCAGGGAGCATGCAAAGGTTACTGCATCAGCCTAGAGCTGGGCCAATGCCCCGGCACGTGGAATGTGAGTCACTTCTCAGCAGAACAAGAGGGAGGCCGCCTGAGCAGTGTGTGGGTCAGGAGACTGCTGCCAACAGAAAGCTTCTCTCTTGCTTGCACTTTACTTGACCTGTGGATAAACAAAGACTTTCTATTTCTAGAAATCCCATTGTTTTAACTGCTTTGAGTTTCTTTTGTAAACTTAAACATCCATGTCTTTATGCAAGGCGTGTAGAGCTCTGTGGGCCCAGTCTGAACATTCTTTATTCCTTTTCTATATTATCCTTATGTGTTTTGTTCTTATAATCCACAAACCCTAAGCTATCTAAAATTCACTTTTCTTTAACGATATATGACATTAAAAACAACTAGGAAGTTGTAGTGTGAGTAGAATATTCAGTATTGCAGAGAACTTGATAAATGTAACCTCTTTGGGGAAGAGATTGAAGGCGTGTAATTCTTTCCATTCAGCTGGCTATGTGGTAGGGCCTTGGAGGCATTTAAAAACATAAAAATAGACAGTCTTTCAGTTCATGTTTTTAGGGTATTTGGGATAGAGAGGAAAGAATTATATTCACAAAATACTGTGTTCTAGCCTATACACCTGTATATCTATATGTATATATCTATATCATCTGTCTAATAACAACAACATTATAGGTAAGTGTTGTTTTCCCTCTTTTACAAACAGAAAAACTAAGGATCAGAGAAGTTAGGGAACTTCTGAGATTTATTTATTTATTGAAATTAAATTAACCCAAAGACAAGATGATATGTTGAAGTTCAGAGAAATTGGCTATCTTTTGAGATTCTTTTATTGAAACTAACTTCTTCCAGTGATAGAATGATAATGTATAATATTGAAACAGAGAATCCCACAGAGCTTCTGACTGCTGGTGAGTTTAAAATACCTGCTGTCCTTATCGTCTGTTCTTTGACCTTGAGCTACTCATTATATTTCTCAGAGGCTTCATTTCTTCATCATAAAGTGGGGATGGTGGTATCTTCTTGGCCTCTATTAGCAAGTTTTGAGTGAAAGAATAAGTAGTATAATTCAGGTGAAAGTGAAACTCCTTAGTGCTGTGTAAATATATGGTATTGTTGTCACAAGTGAAGTTCTAAATAAGAAGGCCAGCGATGTGTTTGGAGTGCATGTACTATACCTTCAGTTTTTTAAAAATGTAGGTTTTGGCATTGCTTCCAATGAGTTTAGGCTCAATTTCAATTGAGTTTAGGCTCAATTACTTTTGTAAAAAGTAATCCATTTTTAAATGATCTATAATTAAGGCTCACAGAGAGGGTGTGTGGGGGAAATGTGAATGACCATTGATGGGACACTCAGTATTGAATGCATTTAGAGTAAAGGATATTGAAGAACTGGAAGGCATGGTTTCTGCCCTAGAGGGGCTAAAAGAATGTAAGCAAACATTTATTTCCCCTATTCTTTAATCTGTTGTATTTATCCAAGACAGTTACTTTCCTGGAGAGAAATCCAGATTTTGATATAATAAAGTCACCCTGGGAACATTAGAATTTATTTTCCTTCTGTAATTTAACACAATTGCGCTAATCTAGAGAAAATTGGCAATATAAGACCAGGATTTAAAATTAGAAATGAAAACTTGCAAATTCATTTTTTCATATATCAAAAATCACATATTTTTTAAAGGTCATATCTCCATGAGTGACCTAGTGAGTAGCTTTTCTGTCATATTTTATTTTGAGGAAAGTAAAAATCTTGAATCCCAAATATTGGTGTTCACATTTCAAAGATTAAAAAAAAAAAAAGGATTGTCATCTTGCGGGGGTTGGGTGGTAGGGGTATGAAAGTTTGTGCCTTAATAGGAGACCATCAGTAACTTTATACCCAATTATTTGCTTTTAAGACCTTGCTTTGTTTCTCTCTAGTGGATGACACTGTGGTTGCCATTCCCTATGGAAGCAGACACATTCACCTTACCTTAAAAGGACCTGATCACTTGTGTAAGTAAACTTAGTTGTTTTCCTTTGGGTATTGGGAATTTTAGGCATTATTATTTATTTTTTGTTCCCAGAATAGATTAAAATACAGAAGTACAAATCTTTCCACTTTATCATAATATGATATTTTGAATGCTTCTGTTTATCTTTTGGTTGCCTAATTAGATAGCAAAAAAAAAAACCTCTCCGGTAATTATCTCTAACCACAGTCATCCTGAAAAATACAAAATAGATGCTCCCGTAGTTTGTTCCTGAGGTAAGCACATGTTTATGCTTTCGTGAATATTGTTTCTCATTTTCTGTCTTCTTTATTTCCAATCAATCTCCATCTTTTTCTTACCTCGCCTCTGGCCATTTTTTTCTTCTTCCTTCCAACCTTCCTTCCCTCTCCTTCTTTCTCTTTTTCATTCTTCCTTTTCTCGCGTTTCATTACTGTATCAATTCAGAGGAACATAGAAACCCTAAACAACCTTACCCCTGTGGCATTTAACGAAAACCATTTTGGTAAATTAAGCATCCCATGTATTAAAGACAATATAGGTCCTAATATCTTGAAGATAGTTATTGGGTTTGGGATTACTAATGGGGAGATCATATACAAACTCTGGTGGGACCAAAGATCAAAGAGTAGCATGGTCCCACCGGAGTTTGTACAAAGACTGACCTTCAGGCATGCCATGTCTTTTTTTTTTTTTTTTAATATCATTTAGTGCTGCTTAGACGCAGACCTCTAAGTTACAAACAGAAAATTATGGGCTGTGAACCAGGGGACCGGGAGGAGAGGATATGCTAGTGTTTTCTGCAAAATTCAATTCCCCCGGAAGATTTCACTTCAGTTGATCCCTCAGGCATTTCTGATCTCCACTTCAATTGTTCCCGGTTCCGACAAAGCCATCTATCATCTTCTGCTCTTTCTCCCCACCCACACACATGCCTAAGAAACCAATTTAGGTAGCAAGCCCTGTCTTTTGGCAATTGGATTATGACTGAAATCATTCCAGAAAGACAAACAAGATGAAGACAAATTGGAGCCTGTGAAAGTTCAGATAGCCTACTATATTCTTTCTAAAAATAAAAATAAGTACATTTTATGGGAGAGGTGGGATGTGAAGGGTCATGTGAAGTAAAGGAATAAGTAAGGTACAGTTCAGGCAAAGCCAAAAGATGCTGATAAGACACCTTATATGGTTTCAAGTTCTTTCCTAGCCCTGAACAGCCCCCAAAAATATAGTGTTCACATGTCAAAGGATGATATATATGTGTTCACTATTAACATTTAAATGATTTGTTTTTCCCTTTGAGAGCTGGACAGAGGTAACTGCTGGTGAAACAACTCTACTCAAAAACAGTATTTTTCTGAGCCGGGATAGGCAAAAATCCATCAGACCAAGACCATCACCCACCTGGGGACTGACTCCTCACTGTGGAAGAAAGAACCCAAAGGGATATAGATATAAGAGGAAAATTTATTTTTATAAATGTATTAGCCTCCCAAATTCCCTAATTATGTGATCACTAGGAAGCTGATGAATTGGCCTTCTTTGCTTTAATTGTCCCAAGGATTTGGTAGATGAAAATTGCAAATGATATTTATGGATGATGAAAAGCAAAATGGAGTCTTCATTAACCCCTCCCCCTCAGTCGATACACTATTGATAACATATGTATAACTAACAAAGTTTTTGCTTTCTTTTGTATTTGGAATATAATTCAGAATGAATATGTGAGTAAATGATGCCCTATTTCTCTTGCAACCCTTTGCCTTTCACTCCCAGCAGCTGCTCCAATATGAGATCAACCTTAAAAATTTAGGGCCAAACTAGAACAAGACTAGGCAGTCTGGTCTGGTCCAGCTCATCTTTCATCAGAATACCTTGAGATGGTTACTAGGAGGCCTGGTGATAAAATTGAACCAGATGCTCACATTAAGCTTAGAACTCCAAGATTTTTCCAAAACTAAATGAACTTACATCCTGGAGATATCTCCATAAATGCATGTAAACACATGTAAGGCAGCTGGAAGAATGAAGGCTAGAGGAAGGAGATGCAGTGCTATTACTCTCCTCTGATGACAACTGTAGTTCCTACACTCGAATATTTTGTTGGGTGCCTTATGTTCTTCTGGGAGGGCCTCTCTGTGCTGGGACAGGGGAGGGCAATCTGACCTCCTCCCAGAGAAGGGATACACAGACTTCACTTGAGGGTCATGGGCATTTAATTGGACACCAACATTTCCCCCTATTGGTATTCCTTGCAGTACAGAACTTGACTTAAACAACATCTAGAAGAATTTAGTGTAAATACTTTAGGCACTTTAGTACATCCAGACACCTTGAAATTATTCTTAACCACAGAACCCCAATCTGTAAAACATTTAAGAAAGGAATCGGTCCGATTGAATCTAGGGTAGAAGACCTAGAGATTCACTCAGGCTCCCCATCTTTCTTCTAAAGAACCTCTGCCCAAACCAAGGGTCCTTGTTAGATTTAGCCTATCTATATACCCTTATGCAGCGGGCAGTTATTCTAAATCCCTCTCAACCACATAAGAACTTCCCCTGCTCTGAAATACATGTCATAATTATCATCCTCCCAGCAGGCTTTAATTTCCTACAAGAAAACATGATTCACAGACTTGGTCATTGGCCAGATTCAGCTTGGAATGTTCCAGGAATCAAGAAGTTCTTCTTTCTGTCCTAAACTCTTAAGAAAGATCATATATGCACATAATATTAAATGAAGTATCAAGAAGGATTTTAAAAAGAAAGAGAAAAAAACGGACAGTTAGTTCTCTGTCCTTAAGTCACTAGACTTTCTTCATTTTTAAAGATAGCACACATAAAATAAATAACCAGAAAGCATAAATAAATACAAGGTAATTCATGAATATAAAGTCACACAGGTACTGCAGGAGTTCAGTGAGGCACCCTGGATCTCATGGAGTAAAAAGGAAAGTGGTAAGGTATTCTAGGCTGAGGGCTGTGAATACTGAAATCAATGAATATGTATGGAAGATGGTTTAGTCAAAGGAATAGGATTGTGATCAGGGGGAGTGCTCAAATGAGGTCATCCAGGGAATCAAAGATTTTTTTGGAGGGAGACTTGAATGTTTGGATAATGAGTTTTAAAATAATTTCATTTGCAGCATAAACTCTTATGTGATCCAGTGTGCCTATATATTTTGTTTATATCCTAATTGTAATTGTGTTAGCCATATAAAGATTGATACTTCCCCTTATATAGCTCTAGGTTCTGTTCCATGGAAAGTGCTTGCATGTGGTCTACTGCAACCATGGGAACATCTTTCTCTTCTCTTCATGTGTTTGATTCTGTAGATCTGGAAACCAAAACCCTTCAGGGGGCTAAAGGTGAAAACAGTCTGAGCTCTCCAGGCATCTTTCTTGTGGACAATTCTAGTGTGGAATTCCAGAAATATCCAGGCAAAGAGAACCTGAGTATCGCTGGACCGCTCACTGCAGATTTCATCGTCAAGGTAAGCCCATTTAGGTATCTTGTGTTCAAGCCCCCTCCAAACTGATGATGTTTACAATCTCCTGAAGAGAGAGCTTTAGGCTTTGACAGAGATTTGGAAAGCCAATTATCCAAGAGATGTTTAATTCTGGACTTTACAAGAATATATGATTTTTTTAAAGTCCTAAGAAAATTGTTTGTGTGTGTGTGTGTGTGTGTGTGTGTGTGTGTTTTAATAAAAAGACCCCACTCACAAAGCCAAGACATCATTAGTTGGATGATACAAACTGATTTTAAAACAAGTTAGGGTATAGTCACTGACTCATATAAGGTATTCTTAGTCAAAGAGAGAGACAAACTAATGATCCATAGACTTGATCATGCTTCCTTCCAATTGCAAGTTCAGTTTTCCCTTGTACTGGCAACAAGACGAGGTTGTTTCCTTCTATCAGAGCTTCCCTACTCTTGCAGGTAATATAAAACACATTGCTGGAAGCAACATACACATTCTGTAAGAAAAAATGTACACACTAGAAGAACATTTGGGAATCACAATAAAATAAAACATATTTTTTCCTTCAGTAGGTCAGAAGGACCTGAAGGATTTCAGCTGTAAAGCTGTAAAACTTGTAATGTGTCCAGGACTCCATAAATTTTTCATCATGGGACCTGGAGCCAGAGGACATTTGATTTAAGCTAAGGCTTCATGACCCCAGGGCAGCTGAAAGTAAGAATGCATATAGGAAAATGTGATAGGCAGTGAGGTTGGATGGAAGAAGGGTTCCAGAGTACTGTACTGCCTCCATCTGCATGGTAGCTTTTTTAAATCCAGTCCACCTGCCAGCCACATGAACTTGAGCAAGAAGCTATAAACCATAAGAGATAGCTCACAATAGAAATGATGCTGTAAGTAGTTAAACAAGCAAATACAGGCATACCTCAGAGATATTGCAGTTTCAGATCCAGACCACTGCAATAAAATAAGTATCACAATAAAGTCATAATCCTTTCGCTGGTGGAGGGTCTTGCTTCCCATTTCTAAAAAACGCAACACCTGTGAAGCATAATAAAGCATTGCGCAATAGAACGAGGTATGCCTGTACAGTAAAAAATGGAGAGATATCTTTATATTTTGAAGCTCTTAGAGTACTGTTGAATAAACCATTTATGCTAATTTCCCTAGAGGCATTGGAGAGTTAATACACATACTGAAAGTATAGAATATGATTCAAGTAATATGCACATTTGAATAGTTCATGGCATTGTTGAATGCATTTCATATATCCATCTGCCTTCTGCACATCACTTGGATGTCCAACAGAGACAATGAGCTCAACATGTCCAAAATTGGACCCGTCTATCCCCAAATCCTGCTCTATCTTCTCGATTTCTTATCTTAAATAATACAATGTTTACCCAGCTGACTCGGAAAACTTTGATTCACATGAATTTCCCCATCTCCTAGACCCCTCATTAGACATTATACTTTGTCAGTTCTACATCTATATCATCCTTTAAAACTATTTTTTCTTCTCCTTCTTTAGTCCTTTGAATTTCTCACCTGAACTAATATTGACTCTGAATAAGTTTCCAGCCTCTGATCGATTAGCCATGTTGCTTTCAGAGTGAGTTTTCTAAAACTGGAACCCCTCTCTTCATAATGCTGCATTGCTCCACACCACCACCCCCCCATTGCTTTGGGGATAAAATGCAGACCCATAGCATAGCATGTATAACTCTCAATAATCTGGGTTCATCTACCCTTCCAACTTCACCTGTGAGTTTTCCTCTTCAGTTTCAACCAACTGAATGGCTCACAAATGACCAAATCTTGCAATCCCATAACTGATTATCTTTGCATAATGCTGTTCCCTCTGTCTAAATGCTATTATCTTTTCTTTTTCCATTCACTTCACTAACTTACAACTGTTCCTCAGTATTTTCTCCACCCAGAAGCATTCTGTGATACAACCCAACATTCCTGTTGGCATTACATCTTTCTACTTTGTGTTCCTTGAGGGCCAGGGACTAAATCGTATTTGTCTTCATATCTCCATAAGAAAACACAACAAACCCTAGCAAGTGTTGGATGAATAAAGGACTTTAGCCACATGGCAGTTGCTGAAGGGGGACAGATGCTGACATCTCCATGTTACCTACAGGGAAACTGAGCTTTAGGGAAGTTGAGTGACAGGACCAAGCTCACCCCGATGACAAACCACAACCAAAAATAACCTCTTTTCTTCTGGCCCAGAACTCTTTTCAGTATTCTCTGTTGTTTCTAAGACTATTTTTTTCTTCTACATGTAAATACACATATTTAAGAAAAAAATGGACTTTAAAGAAGTTTTGATGCTTTCCTAGATGCCTACCATCTGTAAATGTTTTCATACAGAAACAAGCTAAGCTATCATTTCATTGATTTTTGCATTATATATCCTATTTTGTGATGTAGCTTCAGGTTGCAATTGAGTGGAAATTTAGGTTTCATTAGAAAATATCAAGATCAAATAAATGTCAAGTTATTCTAAAATAGATTATGTAATTTTTAAAATCAGTTTATTCAAACTTGAAAATGAGTCATATAATTTAAGAAGATATAGAGAAAAGAAGAAAATTACTTTTTCCCCCAGTGATTCATAATGAGTCAATTTTTCTTCCCTAATTTTCCCCCAGAAATAGTGAAAATAAAAGGTTACCATTTGATTTTTTATCATTTTTCATGGCTTAGGTGCTTAGAAATTATACACATAATTTGTCATTCATCCTCAGTATCATTCAAAGAGTAGTCTCTTTTGCATTATATATTAACTTAAGCAATGACTTCTTTTTGAATGAGATACACAGGAATCAAAATGGAAATGGTTATTTGTCAACATGTTTATGGAAACTTATTGCCAAAACATAAATTTTGTTTATTTACAAGAAGGAAAAAACATTTTTTGCATGGCATTAATATTTTCTCACAGTGAAAATCATTATATATTGCTATTGGTTCCAAAGTTATGTTTTGAAATCTCCTTTAAAGATTAAAACCAGACTGAATTATCACCTTGCTTCCTAGGGACGCATATCTTCCAAAAATTTAAAAATTATACATTGGTTGTACAACATTTTGGCAATGCTAGTGTAGAGTAGTACAAAAGATACGCTCTCTAGAGTTTGGTATAGTCTCCTGCTCACTGGATATGTAACCTCAGTGCATTATTTTACCTTCCTGAGCCTGTTTACTCATTTGAAAAATGGTAATAAAATACTCCCCCATAGTCTTTGTGAGGACCTGCATCAGATAGTGTGTATAACAACAGATAGATCCAAATTACTGCCTTTCCATCTCTTTTTAAATGCTTTAACTTCTAATCCAACTTATCATAATAGCCTGCACTGTATACTCAGAAAGCTGCTTTTCTGAAGATGGTCAGTCTACACTAATAAAAGAGAAAAATGGTAATTGGTGTACGACGCTACCCTTTTCATTGGCTAATCAGGACTATATGCAAATTAACTGCCAACTAAGATTGGCAGTTAACTGCCAGATAAGATTGGCAGTTAACTGCCAACAAGATGGCGGTTAATTTGCATATATAGGCACAATGCAGGGAGGCGAAAGGGAAAGCAGGAAGAAGCCCCCTGCCACTGACAGTGATTGGAAACCCAGGGAGGAGCTAAGAGCTGGGGGGCAGGGCAAAGGCGGCCTTTGCCCTGCCCCCCAGCCATGATCGGAGAATCAGGTGCCTTTTCCGCCCTGGCCAGTGAGCAGGGGAGGGCTGGAGC